TATAGCGGCGCTATAGCGCGGCAATAGCGGCGCTATAGCGGCGCTATAGCGGCCAATAGCGCCCAAAAACAGCCGCCGCTATTTTGCGTAGCCCGCGATCAAAAACGTTGATGAAAACTAAAAAAATATAAAACTAGTATCTGCTATTTTGTAATCTCTTGAATTGAATTTTAAACATTAATTGTTCCTTTTTTCTTCTCCTTTTTTTCTTTTCTCTTTGAAGAAGCACATGAATAAAAAGACAATTTAAAGTTTAAGTGTAATTCGTCATTTTTAAACATGACATACTTCATTAGAAAACGTGGAATAAAAAGATCAAATCCATTTATAATTCTTCATTTTTAAACCTTAGCCTTATAACTTTTCATTATAACTCTTCATTTTTAAACTTTGACTAGAATTTTTAAACTTGTAGAAAATGAGAGCAAATTGAAAAACATAATACACAAGGAAAATTAAAAAGTCAACTCTTCATAACTCTTCATTTTTATACTTTAACAATAATTTTTGAACTTTTTAAACTTTTAGAAAGAGAGAAGAAAGTGAAAAACATAATACACAAATTGATTTGGTTGATTTTAAAGTAGATTAACCTAATAAATTAAAGACAATTAACTTGCAGAATTATACTTAAATAAATTAGGAATGCAAACAAAGAAAGAAAAAAAATCTCAAGACTACCAAAAAAAACACAGCAAAACACTATATTACACCAGTTCAATTTCCTTCCGCCAGACATTACACCAATTTACTTCACTTTTGCGCGATTAACTGAAATTCAATTTACTTCAATTCACTATATCCACGGGTTAAGATTCATTTTAATTGTATTAAAAATAAACTTGTAATCTCCTAACATGTTAAATAATATTTTAATTTTAATATACATGTATTTTTTATTTTGTAAAAGGTGCCTATGCCATCTTTATTTATAGCAAAACCAGAATGCATTATATTTTTTAACTTATGACCTAGAGTATATGAGAAGTGAGAACTCAATAGAACTTTGGTTAACATATGATGATTTTTCTAATAAAACAAGGAGTTTTGGTTAATGTTTTAGTATTTTTTGGATGAAAACAATGTGACGAAAATGAAATGAAACAAAGATTAAAACATTCAAAATTCCTTAGAATTTCGGTTGATGTGGTAGGAAGAACTTCATTAACCTAATAATAGATAAAATGATATTGATATAAGTAATTTTGTATTTAATTGCATATTTATCCAGCCTATATCGACCATTTAAATAACTATGAGTAAGATAGTGTCCTTAAATTATATTCTTTATTTTAAATTAATTTAAATCAACGAAAATAAAACGTTAATATTATGCTCAATTAAATCAAATAAATAACTAAGTGTAAGATAGTATTGTTAAATTATATTTTTGATATTAAAATCAATTTAAAATATAAAATGCGATTACTCAGCTCAGTAAAATCAAATCCACGATGCTCTCAATTCAGGAAAAAAGCACTTATTTTTGGTTTTTTTTTTTTTTTTTTAAAGGAGAGTTAAATTAAAAAAAAAAGTAACTATATGTATGAAATCGTATTAATTATGTTATTATGTAGTAGTGCTAATATTGGTATCACATATCATATACTATTAACTCACTGACGTATACAATTTTTTATAAATAATACAATTTGCCTACTATCATTTTTATATTCGTCATTTAACACAATTGACATGTTTTCAAGAATATAATCAATTCACACTTAAACTTAAAGTCCTGTAGATTAATTGAATGTGCTGTGGCCTGTGGGCACACATATTTCAACTTATTGGTTTTTCTTATCCCCTCTTGAATTCTGACTCCTGAATTCCTTCTTGCAGGCAATACAAAATATTATCCGGGTTTTTTTTCGCTTGTCTATCACATTGAGTTAAATTTGAGTTAGATTGTGAATCTAAATGTGATCTGGGAAATTGGATAGAAGTTATGTTTGAGGCCATTATCGGGCAGCTTTGCTTTCGGGTGCCATATTTGACGTCCCTTACAAAAAATGCCCTTTGTCTCGGTGGTGCGGATATAACGTTAGAAGGTGAGTTTAATCACAAATCACAATAGCATATTTTTCTCTCGAGGAAAAAAAATACAACTCTACAAAGAAAAAACAGTCTCAAACATAAAGAGTATTTACTAGGAAGTTCTCTCAATAGGCAGCCAAGAGATTCGATTTACAGCCATCTTTCTCTGACCCATTAACATCTACCCATACCTCGTTAACACGCCCAATAAACTTGAAAGGGGAATTATACTGCGCAATGGAGTACGCGTACCCACTTCGTGTAGAAGTCGAGTTTCTCCACTCAGACCTGCTCAAGCTCACGGCCAACTTCTCAGCCTCCTTCACGATATTGTTATCCCTTGCAAAACCTGAAAACTTCCGAACTGCAATGCAGTGGCTTTTCCACTGATCGGGCTTGAGGTTCAGTTCGGGAAGCGGGACAGGTGGGACCGCCTGGAACTTGACGGGCAAGTAGAGCCCGACAGAGTAGGCAGACGAGTGGAGGGGCCCGGCTCCAGGTACGATGCTTGTCAAGACGGGCTTTGTCATTGGTATTCTCGAGAAGTTCAAGTTTGCGCCTTGTATGAACTGGAACAATCTGCAGTCGGGAGAAATTTTGGAATGAGGTTTATATGTTTTAGGCTATGTTTGGTAAAACTAGCTGATAAGTAAACTTATAGCTTATAAGTGATATTTAAAGCTTACAATTATATCTTATGACTTTTACCTGCAGTCAAGATAACAATAAACAATGTTTGGTAAAATTAGCTAATAAACTAGCTGAAACAAAAATTCCAACAAGCTTATTTGAAAAGTTATATAAGATAAGCTCGAGCTTTTTAAAAAAACTCGTCCTACCAAACGAAACTTATTTGAATACAGAAAGTTTATAAGCTAACCAAATAAGCTACAAGTTTATAAGCTAACCAAATAAGCTACAAGCTAGCTTATTTGGTAGCCTGGGTTGATAGCCATCTTTTGTAAGGGGTGCTTGTGTCTAATTGAAAATGCCACTTGGGACTTTTGAAATTCGCAAACTTTTGATCATGGGTTTGTGCGAAAGTATCATCCTTGTCACTCAAAGCTAACCATAACGACCAAAAAGTTGGTAGTTTTTGCAAAAGGGCAAGGTTATTATGCTGCTCTGTACAGTTCTCGTGCCTTTTTTTTTCAGGACAAAAAAGGACTCTTACAACTTATGGACCAAAACATGTTCGTACGACTTGTTTCAACTTTTTAGCTTATGTTCACATGTATGGCCAACGTGTAAATCCAGACTAGCTTTGCTTCTGTTACGAATCATACCAAATCGCTACTGAAAAATAAAAAAAGCAGATGTTTTTCAACACACAATCTTAGCAATTTGCTGCTCTACTCCAATTCTGTCCTATGAATTAGTTCTCTTGGGATGCAATACCTTTATGGTCTACAGTCTACACAAATCCTCAGAACAACTAGAGTGATCAGTGTCTACAACATGTAAATGAGATTTCTAGTGTAATTTACAGTATCTCTTCATGAAAGAAAATCGAATAAAATCGAACCAATCAAAGATTCAGATCAAATGACTAGCACCAGCGTGTATAATCTTACGAGCTCTACCAATAATTCGGAAAAGGCACATCCAACCTCAGATTCCTCATAATTTCACCAAACATATAAACCAAAAAAAATAAAAAAAAAATCACCAAATAACCTACACTACAAAGTAGCTAACTTTCTGCAAGCCCACAAACCACATAACAGCAAAGCAATAAGCAAATTAAAAAACAACCGATATACTATTTAAATAGGTGAGTTTTTCTTCTTTGTTGAGAATTGAGAAAACCGGAGAAAATAGGTGAGTTTTTCTTCTTTGTTTTATATATGTCACATATTCTTCGAGTCGATTTGAATAATAATATTCGTCATATTATTTAAATAAATATATATATATATATATATCAATTTTCATAAATTTTTAATGTTATATTTTAATATATTATATTTTCTAATGTTTTATGAAGAAAGTATGTTCGCCAAATACGATCCTAAGTACCTAGTGAATAAGAAAGGTGACCACATTGTTAAAAAATATTATATTTCACAATAACTAGTAAAATTATTTAATTGGTTTTTATAATGTATGGGTTGCATTGTATATATTTTTAAATATTTTTTTTTATTTTTTTTATTATTGAAATGAGATGATCTTTTAAAAAAAAAATTGGATATTGTGATTTATGAGATGGAAATGTAATAGTTAAGTCGATGTAATTTAAAATTAATTTAAAAAATAATTAATAGTTAAAAATATACGAGTAAATGAATAGTAAATTACGTAAAATCATGTATGGTAATAATCATTTTTTATATAAATGAATGGCTAATAAAATTAAGTTAGGAAAATGTAATTAACGAGTAATTTTTTTTTTTAATTTGGTGGGCAAAAAATTACTTTTTAGTTTATTATACAAAATTACCTCCGGAGAAAAATTCTAAAAAATACGATCAAATCGACTGACAATATGTTGGATTCTGTTTATAATTTTTTTTTTTTT